ACCTTCTCAACAGGAAGATGACAAAGATGAAGACCTTTATGATGATCCTGTTCCATTTAATGAATAGTAAATAATCATCATGCTGTACAGTTAATAAACTTACCTGCTGTGTATGTGTTTAAGTTTCTTTGTGTGAAAATCTACTAACTGTATGGCAAGAACAATGTTAATCAACTATTTATGCTATTGTTAAGCTTATGGTCAACGGTAGGCTAATAATAGTTGTGTTTTTGGGAGCCAAAAGTTATACATGGATTTTCTCCTGAAGACTCAGCAAAGAAAAAAAAAAAAAAAAAAAAAAAACTATTGGACTAATTGAAAGATTTAGCATAGTGGCAGGAGAAAAGATCAATATACAAAAATCAGTTGGATTCTTTTACTTCAACAAAGAAATCTCTGAAAAGGAATTAAGGAAAAAAAATACCATTTACAAAAGATACTAAAAAGATAAAATACTTAGAATAAATATTACCAGGGACACAAAAGACCTATACAAATAAAATTATAGAATACTACTGTGTTGTTGTTATGTGCCGTCAAGTTGGACCTGACTCATAGCGACCCCTCCTTGGGTTTCTGAGGCAGTATCACTACGGAAGTAGATTGCCCAACCTTCCTTCCAAGGAGTGGCTGGTGGGTTTGAACTGTCAGCCTTCTGGTTAGCAGCCAAGTGCCTTAGGCACTACACTACCAGAGCTCCTAAGAATAGTACTGTAAGATACGATAAAAAATCTACATACCATGCTCACAGATAGGAAGATCAAACATTGTGAAATGTCAATACTACTCAAAGAAATCTACAGATTCAATGCAATCCCAATCAAGATTCCATCAGCATTCTTTTGGGACATGACAAAACCAATCACTAATTTTATATGGAAAAGAAAGAGACCTCAGATGAGTAAAGCATTACTGAAGAAAAAGAACAACAACAAAGTAGTAGGTCTCATACTCCCTGATCTCAAAGCCTACTATACAGCCACAGTAGTTATAACAGCCTGGTATTGGTAAAATGATAGTCACAAAGACCGGTGGAACAGAACTGAGGACTCAGAAATAGATCCATCCACCTACGGACAGCTGATCTTTGACAAAGAGTCATTACCCCATTAAATGGGGGAAGAGATAGTCTCTTTAACAAATGGCACTGGCAAAACAGGATATCTACTTGCAGGAAAATGTAACAAGATCCACACCTTATACCATACATAAAAACAAACCGCAGATGGATCAAAGACTTAAATGTAAAATGTAAAACTATAATCAATGAAAAAATAGGGGCAAACTTAGGGGGTCCTCATATATGCTATCAACAGACTATCAAAAATAAGCAAAAATATACAAAGCAGAAGATAAACTAGATGATTGGGACATTCTAAACATTAAATTCTATGCACATGAAAAGACTTCAGAAGAGTAAAAAGAGAACCTACAGATTGGGAAAAAAATATTTGGCAATGACATATCTGACAAGGGACTTACCTCTAAAATTTATAGAAAACTTCAACACCTCCACATCAAAATGACAGATAATCTAATCAAAAATGGGCAGAAGACATGAACAGGAACTTCACCAGACAAGATATATGCATGCAGCCAACAAACACATGAAATGCTCACGATCATTAGCCATTAGAGAGATGCAAATCAAATGAGGTATCATTTCATCCCAGCAATAATAGCAAAATTGAACAGGACAGAAAATAACAAATGCTGAATAGGGTGTGGGGAGATTGGGACTCTTACTCTGCTGGTGGGACTGCAAAATGGTACAACCACTGTGGAAAATAGTATGACACTTCCTTAAAAAGCTGGAAATAGAACTACCATATGTTCCAGCAATCCCACTACTAAGGAATATATCCTAAAGAAGAAAAAGCTGGGGATGAATAAATACATGCACATCCATGTTCACTGCAGAACTATGCATAATAGCAAGGAGGTGGGAACAACTTAAGTGCCCACCAATGGATGAATGGATATCAAAACACAAAATGGAATATTATTCACATAACACTAAAGAATAATGAAGAATCCACGAAACATCTCATAATGTGGATGATCTTGGAGAACATTATGCTGAGTGAAGTAAGTCAATCACAGAAGGACAAATATTGTATGAGTCCACTATTGTAAAAAGTCAAGGAAAGGTTCATACATGGAAGGAAACTTTGTTTGTTATCAGGGATAGGATGGGAGGGGAAGGGAGAGAAAATTGCTAAGTATGTAAGAGACTCACATTGTTTTGGATGAAGGGAAAGACAATGTACCGAAAGTCAGTGACCAGTGCCATAACACTAAGAAAAAGGTAGACATGGAGAGGTGCACGAGAGATACAGACAACAAAGGTAACACTTTTACACATACAACACTACACTATCAGTAATAACAAACATTAATCTCTGGGTGGATACACAGGTAGACAGGCAAAATGATCAAGTATGGGCAGGTGAAAAGGAATATACTAATGACCATATACACATTTGGCAGACGATATTTCTATAGATGTATCTTTATGCTCTCTAAGAACGTCCATATGTATAACAGAGCTAACAGAGGGCAAAGTTATGCTACAGCCAAACACCCTGAGGGAGTGAATTGCTGGGCGTGTGAATTTCAGACCATGGTCACAGAGGACATCAAGCTCAACTGACATAATATAATACAAAAAAACATTGTTCTATATCCTACTTTGTTGAGTAGGGACTGGGGTCTTAAAAAGCTTATAAGAGGCCATTTGAGATGCAGCAATTGGTCTCTCCTTGTTCAGAACAAGCAAGAGTGAAGAAAACCAAAGACACATGGAAACAATTAGTCAAAGGGATTAATGGACCATGGGAACCTCAGCCTACATGACCCTGAGACCCAAACAACTAGATGGTGTCTGGGAAATACTGGCAACCACTCAGAAAGGGATCAAAATAGGGAATCGTGGATCAAGTGGAAGAAAATTTGGGAAAAAACTCAAAATCTTAAAAAAAAAAAAAAAAGACCAGGCTTCTTGTTCTGACAGAGACTAGTGAAAATCCCTGAGACTATGGCTCCTCGTCACCCTTCAGACCTGGAAATGAAGTCACTCCCATGCCTTAACTTCCAGCCAAACAACAGATAGGCCTACGAGGTGAACAATTACACCAGGTAGGTACACTCCGTAGAACAATCCACTATGGGAGATCAGAAGGGCAGCATTTGTGCAGGGAGATAGCACCGAAGGCAGGAATGCATAGGAAAGGAGGACACAGGGAAAATGCAACCACAGGGAAGAAGTGGGAAGAAAGCTGTTACAATGTGGGGATTGTAATCAACATTATGAAACAAACTGTATTATGAACTGTTAAATGGAAAAACAATTTGCTCTGTAAAATGTCACACAATTAGAAAAAAATGTTGTATGAGGATTTTCAGCTCTGTGGGGTGATGGTGGGGTGGTTGGTTCCCTACCCCCATTTTGTTTAAGGGTCAAATATATATAGGAGGATGCTGGGGAACCAGGGAAGCATGCAAAACCCTACACGTTACTAACAGACTTTTCCTGATTTGGCACTTGCTTATCTCCACACAGGAACATTTCTTGGCTTTTCTCAACACTTGGAGTTCAAATCGCATTAGACAGTTCTGTGTGCACTACAGTGCTCTCTCCTCTAGGCCTTCATTCCTCAGCTGGATCATTCTAGTCTCTCTTCCCACACCTCCCTTATTTTGTACTCAGTCTTTAAGTTTCACACTATTTTGACACTTCCTACTTCACCTACAAGGCCAGGACTGATGACTAACTCTTCCCTGTACCCCCACATCATGCTGGACCTAACCTTTCTGTAGCGCTAATCAAACTGCATTGCAATTATTTATAAGGACACTTCTTCAGGAGAGGGTCTGCGTTTCATTTCCTTCTGTGTCTTGGCACCTAACATAGCTTGTGATGTACCAAAACCAAAAAAACCAAACTCACTTCCGAGATGCACAGCAGGAACAAAATACCCACTTGTCAAATAAATATGTCATTGATAATTATCATACCAAAGATGTACAGTGGAGTCAGTTAATACTAAGATCTGGCTGATCACTGTCAGATGTTCTATCTGCATTGCTCATCAATAAGAAATCCAGACATTAGTTTCCAAAGTACTTGAACGAGTCAATGGCAATGGAATTACTGCAGACAAGTTTGAAATGGTCAAACCTGGCTTTTGTGTCATGTTATGGAATTTGGTTTCTTCAGAGGTTCTTCAACATCCCTAGAACGGAGTTTTAAGTAGGAGAGAGACATGAATTTGGGCTTTGGGAAGATCACTCTGATACCTGGGAGAAGCTGAACAGAATTCTGGTATACTTTCTGTCTTAATTAGTTCAGAAAACCCCAGTGATCCACTTAAGTCTGCACTGAGGGCTAGGTAAGGTTCTTCCATGCTGCATTGCAAAGGATGAATACCTGGGATATTTTCATATTCCCAATGACAAGCATGTTGTTGTTGTTATGTGCCGTCAAGTTGGACCTGACTCATAGCGACCCCTCCTTGGGTTTCTGAGGCAGTATCACTATGGAAGTAGATTGCCCCATCTTCCTTCCAAAATGACAAGCATAGTCACTGTATATGTTCAATAAAATGAATAAGTAAGTGAATGAATAGCTTGTCACCAAGCCAGGAGGATTTCTCCCTAACATTAGCAAGTCATGTGAAAAACATGAGCTGATAGTTTTTTGTTGTTGTTGTTATTTGTTTAAAGAACTGAGTAAACATGACTGATGGATCAGTAAGTTAATAAAACGTTTAGAAAACAAATTCAATGAATGCGTCCCATCATCAATGAGTCAAAAGTGCCAGCTTCCTATAAGAAGTGTAAAAAGCAGTATATTGCATTTTGCTTCATTTACACAACACACCCATCCAGGGTAGCATCTCTTTCTATTCAAAATATGAAGTATTATCCAAATATATATATTAATAATAAGATTATTTTATAAAACTTTTTTTTTTTTCAAGATCAAAGCACTGACTTACCTGAGATAATTTTGTTGTCGTGGCGGGCAGAAGTGGGCGGCTAAACTTCTTCTGAGAGCCAATGGCTGCTGGAAATGGGGGTGCAGAAAACACAGCTGCAACACAGTTGATTTTGTTTATCCACCCTTGCATTTCTTCTGGACTCCTAGAAAAAGACAGACATCATTCTCTTAGGGTATTTCTATATCTCAATACATCATACCTTGTTCATTTCTTACTACTGATTTAAAATGGCATATAAAACTTTTTTTTTCTTTCCTTTGGGTAGGTGGCAATTGATCTCTGATGAATCTTCAATTGAGATTAACATTCTAAGCAGCTATTGCCAGGGCAGTGAAAGACACCATCATCATTTTCCTAGAACTCTGATCATTATAGCAAAAGATGGTGATTATCCCTCTAGGACACAAAAGAAAAAAAGAGAATTTACCTGACAATATTCATTAAACATCTAGTTTCCATTTTATATTAGGCTGTTGTTATTAGGTGCTGTCAAGTTGATTCTGAGTCACAGTGACTCAAGTGACAATTAGAACTGTTCCATAGGGTTTCCTAAGCTGTACTCTTTATGGGAGATGATCATTAGGTCTTTCTCTTGAGTAATTTCTAGGTGGGTTTAAACTACCAACGTTTTGGTTAGCAGCTGAGTGCTTACCCATTGTACCACAGGGCTCCTTCTGATACCAGACTAAGTCAAAAATTAATTTTTTAAAAAATTACTCATCTATTCTCATCACATAATTTGATTTTAAAATCCAACTGTGGCATCCACTGATGGAAGGTATATGAAAGAAGGCACCCATGCCGGAAAACAGTTTGTCAGTTTCTTAAAAAGTTAACCATAAATTTACTGAAGAATCCAGCAATCCTACTGTGGTGTAGTAAATTACTTAGTGTGGCTTTTTTACCCATAAGTCTTTGTAAACTCCAAGGTGGGATTTTCTATGAGCAACTGAGGAGCTCCTGATTGCTTAAGTTGTCCACCTGGAGTATTTCTGTTGGGAGTGGCACAAAACAATGTTCTGGGAGGTGCCCACTCTCTCTCAGGTGCTTAGAGTTCTGATGCTGTGATTGGCTAGTTTGACCACCCTGCCGGGCTCAAAAGAAGGCCTCCTAGAGGCAGAACTCTCTCTGACTGCTGGTTGAGGAAGACGTGCTGCTGAAAGAGACACGGGCTCCTGAGACACGTATTGCTGGGAAAGAGACACAAGACACACACATTGCTGAGTGAGACACCAAGGGACCAGCACTGCTGGGAAAGAGACTGTGAGAGACTGTTGGCTGAGGGAAGGTGGGCTGGGAGAGAGACTGAGCATTTTTCCTGAACTTGGATTGTAGCCTGTGGTGCTTCCCCAATAAATCCCATAATCTGTGAGCTCTGTGTGGCCACTGCAGCGAATTATAGAACCCAGGAGAGAGGCGGTGGTGCTCTGGGAGGAACGGTTGGAGAAAGGGCTGGAGGGAGGCAGCATGTCTGGCCTTGCAGTAATAGGCCTTGGGTTATTGTTGGTAATCCTGTCTTCCTCTTGTGGGATTAGAGGAGGTCAGAACAAGTGGCCTCCTTGTCATTTTTGTATCTACTCTGAGATATCTACCAAAGAGAAATGAAAAAATAAGTCTAGTCAAAGACTTATATGTGAATGCTCACAGAGGTTTTCTTAATAATAGCCAAAAAGAGGAAATAATTGAAATATCCATCAAATAGTGAGTGGATAAACAAAATGTGGCATATCCATACAGTGGAATACTATTCAGTAATAAAAGTGTGAACTACTGATACATACTACACTATAGATGAATCTCAAAAATGCTAAGTGAAAGAAGCTACACACAGAAAACCACATATTGTATGATTCCATTTATATAAAATGCCAAATGGCAAATTTATAGAGACAGAAAGAAGATGGTGGTTATCTGGTGCTGGGGGTGAGAATGGATTGTTGTTGTTGTTGTTGTTGTTGTGTACCGTCGAGTCACACCTGACTCATAGTGACCCCTCCTTGGGTTTCCGAGGCAGTATCACTACGGAAGTAGGATAGTGACTGTTAATGGACACGAGGGATCTTTTTGGGGTGGCAGAAGTGTTCTATAATTGGACTATGGTAATCGTTGCACAACCCTATAAGTTTACTAAAAATCACTGAATCATACAGTTGAAAGAGTTTGTAAAACCCCAGGTATATAAAATATACTTTAGTAATTCCCAAATCCCATTGCCATCAAGTTGATTCCAATTCACAGTGACCCTATAGGACAGAACAGAACTGCTGTATAGGGTTTCCAAGGCTGTAATCTGTATGGAAGCAGACTGCCACATCCTTCTCCCGTAGAGCAACTGGTGGGTTGGAACTGCCAACCTTTCAGTTTGCATCCAAGTGCTTTAACCACTGCACTATCAGGGCTCGCTATACCTCAATGAAACTGTTAAGAAAAACCCACTTTAAAGGAGGGGGAAATCATCTGATGTCATAATCATGATTTAACTTATATGCCATTGTATCCACAGAGCCCAACACTGAGAACATGTAATATACATTTATGAATTCATGAATGAATGGCGGAAATGGTCATGACCTGGGACAATAGTATATCCATTGTGTATACACTTAAATGAAGATTGCAAAATGTCAGCCAAATCTAAAATAATTTTCTTCTCCAATCACTCTGCAGGAAGTTAACTAACCTGAGACTCATACTAGATTTCAAGTCACTACACCCCACGTTGTTGTTGTCAGGTGTCATTGGGTTAATTCTGACTCACAGTGACCCAAGGCACGATAGAATGAAACACTGCCTGGTCCTGTGCCATCCTCACAAGTGTTGCTATGTTTGAGCTGACTGCTGCAGCCACTGAGTTAATCCATCTCATTGAGGGTCTTCCTCTTTTTTTGCTGACTCTCTACTTTAACAAGCATGATGCCCTTTTACAGGGACTGGTTTCCTCCTGATAACATGTGCAAAGTAAGTGAGACGAAGTCTAGCCATCCTCACTTCTAACAAGTATTCTGGCTGTCCTTTTTAGATTTGTTTGTTCTTCTGGCAATCCAAGGTATACTCAATGTTCTTCATCAACACCATAATTCAAATGCATCAGTTCTGTGTTCTTCCTCATTCATTGTCCAGCTTTCATATGCATGTAAGGTGACCGAAAATACCATGGCTTATGTCAGGCACATCTTAGTTCTCAAAGTGACAACTCTGCTTTTCAATGTTTTAAAGAGGTCTTTTGTAGCAGATATGCTTAACGGAATAAATTGTTTGATTTTTTCACTGCTGCTTCCATGGACATTAATTATGGATCTAAGTAAAATGAAATCCTTGACAACTTCAATCTTTTCTCCATTGATCACGATGCTGCTTATTGGTTGAGTTGTAAGGATTTTTGTTTTATGTTGAGATGTAATCCACACTGAAGGCTGCAGTCTGTGATCATCATTAAGTGCTTCAAGCCATCTTCACTTTTAGCAAGCAAAATTGTGTCATCTGCAGATCACAGGTTGTAAATGAGTCTTCCTCCAGTCCTGATGCTGTGTTCTTCTTCATATAGTCTACCTTCTCAAATTATTTGCTCAGCATACAGACTGTATGCAAAGGTAAATGTGTCAGACACTGTGTGAGATACTTCATACACTCTATCTCATTTAATGGTTACTACAAGAACCCTGTGAGGTAAACAGTGTTACCTACACCAGTGACAAGGTGAGGTGCAAAGAGGTTATATTACATTCTAGGACAAAGGCCTAGGAAATGGTGATTTGAATCCAGGCCTATTTTATTTATTGTGTATTAGAACTTGGCTATTAAAACTCTGTGTTTTATTGATAGGATACTGAGATATTGAGACTGTATGTATCTGACTAAAAGCCACAGAGCTATTTCTTAGCAGGCAAAAAATTTGAACCCAGAGTTTCTATGTCTCATTCTAGTCTTCTTAGGTACTTATCTCAAATGCAACCAGTTAGCAACTTTTACTACAACTCTAAAAATTTCCCCTGCAGAGCCTGATTTTGTTGCTTGGAATAGGGTGGTACTATGTAAACTAAAAATGCAAACAAACAAAGAAAACATACTGGGCTTGAAAAAGCAAGACCCTCCAGTCGGCAGTTTTGAGTTTGAGCACATTCGGTTTCTTCTCGTAGTCCGTGGCCTTAGATGCCAGTGCGTGGTGCACACTGACAGCATTTTTCAAGTCCTCCTCAGACAGGGCCTTTTCTGGTTTATATTCATCCTACAGACAGATATAACGATAACAAAGACAAGATCATGTTCACATTTCAATGTCACTTTTTCACATCTTAAAATCACCAGAAAAATATCTTTTAAAAATCTATGAAGATGCATGAGAAAAAAGTGAAGTGATGGTAAAAGGACCTATTTGCTACTTCATGAACATCATAGAACATTCTGCTGTTTACAGAATGAGAAAACGTACCTATGTAAAGAAAAACTTTCAAAAAGCCAAAGACAAAAATATCTTTTATATATATTTTACAATGATTTGAAACGAAGCTAAGTCTAACAGAATAATTTGGTTTCAAGAGTAAGTAGATAAAAGCAAAAGTTTCCAGATGTCCATCAACAGAATTATACTGATGGTGAAAACAATGTCATCATGTTCTTTGCTCTGAAGAGGTAACATTTTCCTGTTACTTCCTTTTTAGGATAACATTATCAAAAGAAAAATGAACAGTAAATAAAATGATTTCTCCAACTCTTCTCTTGAGAGAGAAAAAAATCAGTTTAATAATCATAAGAAAGGTTAGCTCTATTATAATAAATTTGAAAAAATAGGTAAAATTTCATAAAGAAAAAGATGTATAAATGCAATTTTATCTTTGGGAATCATTTACACAATTCATATAATTTAAAAATGTTCTGTATGGCATTCCTCCAAGCATAACTAAAAAAAATCCTCACCTAGTAGAATAATAAGCAGAATATAAAACAAATTTGGTTCTATGATTGCTAGTAGTTTCTGGGTCCATCAGAATCCAAAAGGCCTTAAAACAAACATAACAGGCATATACTACCAATTGTTACAGAAAACATTATCTAATGTTTAAAGTTCCCTTCCCCATTTTCAAAATTTATCTAAACCAAAAAACCAAACCTGCTGCTGTCAAGGTGATTTTGGCTCATAGCTACCCCTATAGGACAGGCTAGAACTAGCCCGTAGGGTTTCCAAGGCTAGTAATTTCACAGAAGCAGACTGCTGACCTTTTGGTTATCAGCCAAGCACTTTCCCACTGTACCACACACACATACACACACACACATCCGATTAATTAGTAATAAAAGTCTAAAAAGCCTAAATTGTCTATTGCTTTATAATTCAGTTTTATCAATTTTTAAAAGAAAAATCCCATTGTGTTTCCTCTCTATTCCTTCCACAAATCAAATAATTCAAATATATCAATACAAACCACCAGGAAAATAAATAAATAAATAGCAACAGCAGGCTGTTGATTTTTAATGACTACTGTCGTGCAAGTGTTCACAGGCAAAGGTTTCCTCTCTAAAATAGGCAGTAAATAACAATAGCAACATAAAGATTACTAAAACTTAAATGATAAAATATCCACCTTGGGGCTATAACAAGAAGTCTTATTTTATTAAGACTTATAGCCTAAGAACTGGTGTTGACAGCGATAGTCTTCAAGAGAGGTAACATGAATAAAGAAGGATAATGAAAATATATTCTTAAAATCAATACATATATTAATATATGTCTGTTCTTTTATAACTTCCATTAATACATAAAACTATAATCTAATCATGTTTTGGGGTACTGTTCATATTTTTTAATGATTTTTTTTTTTCAGTGATTTAGTATTCCAAAGATTCACAAATTTCCTTCCAGGGAAATTTTTATTAGAGTGGAGGTTTCAACTGGAGGTAGCATGACTACAAAATTCCCTTCAGCCTTATGATTATCTATAACAGAATGAAGCACATATGGCCCTCATCCAATTTAACCACTTAATTTCCAGAATGGAATTTGAAGTAGATGAGAGTACATGAGTAGATGGGGATATTTAGTAATAAATAAAATAAGGTAGATGGGAATAAATGACCAAAGCCAAAATTACCTGCAAAGAATGTATATGCTACCTCCATTTTCATGTATAAATCCCCGACCACCCCCCTCCACTCCTCCAAAAAAAAAACAAAAAACAAAAAACCTATTGCTACTGAGTCGATTCAAACTCACAGTGACCCAGTAAGAACAGAGTGCAACTGCCCCACACAGGGTTTCCAAGGTTATAAACCTTCATGGAAGCAGACTGTCATATCTTTCTCCTGCAGAGTGGCTGCTAGGTTTGCATCACAGACCTTTTGGTTAAAAGCTGAGCACTTAACCACTGTGCCACCAGGGCTCCTTATTTCCATATACAGGTGTGCATTGCTTAATGTCCATTCACACAACATCTGAATCACACGTATCTTTATTTATTTTCTTTTTCAAAGAGAAAGCAGCTCTCCTTTTTGTGTATTATTTTCCCCTCGTGGTTTTAAAGACCCCAAACCCTGACTCTTGCAGCACTGGACCACAGCCGGGATACAGGGAGTTGAAGCAGAGGACAAAGCTCTGGCACAGGCTCTCAGGCTTTGTTTGGTGAGCAGGTGGCGGCAGCTGGGGTCACGGTGCTCCTAATGCTCAGGCGGGTGGAACAGTGGGCAAAGGAGGGTGTGCTCTGTTCTCTGGCACTTGCTTCCTTTTGCTCTGCTCCCACTTCTGTTGCTGCCATCAGTTCCTCTGGCCTCCAACAGTAGCTCCAGTAATGGCAGCACCAGTGATAAGAACAACTGGAAGCAGGCTCTCATGAGATTTTAATATAGTGTTCGCACAACGTCCAATTCACAGAACGTCCTATTTCACAGAACATATGGTGGATGTTAAGCAATGCATGTCTGTATCCCTAACACATCTGATATTTGATTTTGCATAGAGTTTAGCCTAGAAATTTTGCAGGTTTTTTTTTTTTTTTTTAAACATATGCTAGGTGCATGATTTTGGCTTTTATCTTAATTCCTTCTCCTTAGTGTATTTCATAAAAAACAAAAATCTTCACAACTGGACCATTAGGCAACATCATGATAAACAGAGAAAGTATTGAAGCTGTTAGGATTTCATTTTACTTGGATCTGCAATCTACACCCACAGAGACAGCAGTCAAGAAATCAAATGGCACATGCAGTGGGCAGATCTGCTGCAAAAGAATTTTTGAAAGTGTATGAAAGCAAAGCTGTCACTTTGAGGACTAAGGTACATCTGACCCAAGCCATGCTATTTTCAATCACCTAATATGCATGCGAAAGCTGGAAAATGAACAAGGAAAACCAAAGAACAACTGAGGCATTTGAATTATGGCGCCTGAGAAGAAGAATGAATATACCACAGACTTCTAGAACAATGAACAAATGTTTTGGAATAAGGACAACCAGAATGCTGCTTCGAAGTGGAGAATGGCAAAATATCATCTCATGTACTTTGGACATGTTATCAGGAGGGACCAGATCCTGGACAAGGACATCATGCTTGGTAAAGAACAGGGTCAGCAGAAAAAGAGGAAGACCCTCAATGAGATGGATTGACACAGTGGCTGTACCAAAGGACTCAAGCATAGCAACAATTGTGAGAATGGTGTAGGGCTGGGTGATGTTTCATTCTGTTGTACACAGAGTCACTATGAGTTGATACTGACTTGATGGCACCTAACAACACGACAACAGTTTATTTTGTTTCTCTCATTCAAATTTCCTAAGATGATAATTAAGTTCTTTTGCTTTTCATATTCTTCTTTTATTTAAAAAAAAAGCATTTGCTATAATTTTTCCTCTGACACAAGTTACATTGTGTAACATAGCTTTGGAATAAAAGATATTATTTTCATTGTTTTTTAGATAGTTTGTAGTCATCTTTTTTGATCTTCTCTTTTATGTTGTTAGTAATATCAAGGAATACATTTCTCAAATTTAAAATACCTAGAATTTGGGTTATTTGTCATTATATACTTCTAATTTTATTGAATTACAGTCAGAAAATGTGGCCTGTAAATCTATTTCCCTCCCAAATTTGTTAAAGATTTTCTGTGGCCAAGTACATGTTTGATTTTTATTAATGTTCTATGAACATAAAAAACAAAAAACCCTTTTTCTCTGAGGGACAATAAGTGGAGCTTATTGCTTCAACTTCTGTATGTTTTCATGTAATTTTTTCCATCAGTTTTATGCCCCTGAAACAAACACATTGACCTCTTCTACTACAACTGCATTTCAAGTTCTTTGCATTTCTAATAGTTTTTGTTTTACATTTTAGTTGCTATGCTGTTTGGTGCATTTAGGTTGATAACTGTTCTTTATAAGTATGTGCTCTTTATAATTTTTAAATGTTTTGTTATTCTGTTTAGTGCTTAGAAGGAAATGTAAAAGAATTTCTCTCTCAAACTGTTCTATTTCTCTACTTACATCAACAGGATAAACCAGAAAAAAAACAAACCCACTGCCATCGAGTCAGATCCAACTCACAGTGACCCCTCCTTGGGTTTCCAAGGCAGTATCACTACGGAAGTAGATTGCCCAACCTTCCTTCTGAGGAGTGGCTGATAAGACCTCAAAAATATTCTAACTTTCCTATTAATCCTAAATTTTGCTGAAATAGTTTATTATGCTTAGCTCTGATTATTAAAGATTATTAAAATTCTCTTGTATCATGTAGTCTATATTTCAAGAAAGCTCATTTTACACTTAATTATATATTCCAGTATCCTTCCTTATTCTTTTATATTTAACGATATGCATGTGTTATTGCTCACCTGCTTTCTACTTTTTTTCCCCTCTCTGTTCTTATCTTTTTGGTTTGTTCTTCTCTATTTCTTCAGTAGTCTTTAATTTTTACTTATCTTCAAATAACATATATTTTTTTAATAACGTGCTCACACATATAATGCATGGAACAGTGAGCTAATGAAAATAGTGTGTGGAGGGGGTGTTTGCACAGTTGGTAAAAACAATGTATAATGTGCACATTATTTGAATAAGCATGTGCCATCTTACATTTCCTTTGGCAGGTATAGAACTTTGGATTGCAGTTCTTTTTTTCTCATAGTCTATAGATACCATTCTATAGGTCCAATTTTACAGAAGTTCAATGGTAGCATGATCCTTTTTTCTTTATATTTTCTGTTAAAAATCACATAAGGGTTTCTATCCATCCTTAGAATTCAG